CTACTCGCTCGTTAGCCACCTTATGGAATAAAACAAAAATCTTATACATAGAACTCTTGCTTATGAAAGTCTACTGTATATATCACGTAACAACTAAGATACAAGATGAAATACGCATCCAAAGTTTTTTTTTTAATGTATGCACATTTCTTAAAAATGTACTTTATATTAAAAAAATATAACCTGAAAAATATTAGAATTTTGTAGTACTGTGCATAGAATTCTCTGTAGAGTCGGCAGTCGTAAATATTATGCGTCGCTTCCATATTTCTCAGTTAATTGCTTTGGCAATTAGCCTCGTTTGTCCGCCAGTGTGAATGTACTAATTCCAGAAGACAAGATATTGTTTTCTTTATTAAACCGTTATAAGACTACGATGCACTTATACGTAAATTAGGCGTCTGATTAAAAAAAAACTAATGAGTAATCTATGTGTTCCTCCAGACTATGTTCTGCATCTATGCTAAATTTCAGCGAGATCCATGAAACCGTTTTGAAGATCCATCTATCCATACATTCGCATTTACCATATAATATAAGTAAGATTAGAAAAGCGTATGACAAGTAATAATATGTTCGTGTATCACTCAGAATCTTCTAATAAACATAAACTTTCCTTAGTGCAGATTTCTTATAAATCTCCGTTAATCTCTCTTTCTGACCATTTAGCAACTCTTGAGGGTAACACTAAAAGCATTAATACATTACTAGCTGTCGCCCGCGACCCCGTCCGCGTGTATATATAAAATAACTTAATTAGTGTAGCCTATGTGTTCTTTCAGCCTATGTTATATACGTATGCCAAATGTAATCGAGATCCGTTCAGGCGTTCTAGATATATCCACCCACATCATATCCATCAAAACATTCGCATTTATAATAGTAAGTTTAATAAGAAAAAATCGAAAAAGAGTTAATAAATAGTATCCTATGTCCGTCTCCTGGCTCTCCTCATCAATTTTCAGCCATATCGGTAAACCCGTTCTTGAGTTATAAATAGTGTAACTAACACGACTTTCTTTTATATATATATATATATATATATATATATATATATATATATATATATATATATATATATATATATATATATATATATATATATATAAACACAATATTCATATACGTTTTATTTTAAAGCAAACTATATAGTAGTATATACGTTTTTTTACGGTATATTCTTTTTAAAAATAAAGTAATCGATATTTACATACTTAAGTATCAATTGACATGTGTTATACGATATACGATACTTTTGAAATCACAAAATAGGAATAAGGAAATTCTTATGAGAAAGTTTATTCTCTTTCAATGTAGTTTTTTCATAAATTTTATGAGGAATTAAAAGTTTTTGTGAAAGTGATAAAATTTTGCTAAGTCATCTTTATATCATACTTATATTGAACATAAAAGCGAATATATTTTTTTTAAAAGAAATAAGTTCAAAAAAGTTTTTTTTTTATAATAACTATATCTGATAGCATTTTCGATGACAAACAGAAGCTAACTTAACTATCACAGAGAAAATTCAAGTTTCAACTTTTTTTGCGTTATGCAAGCTAATTTATTCCTAATGCTTAATACAATAATGACCATAATCGTAATGCAGTTGCATCGAAAACCTCACAGTCAGCATGTGTGACCTTTTCACTCGACTTTCTAGTGTCCTAAAAATGAAGGCACGTGTCGCTCAATTCCGTATCAATGGTGTCTCGTTTCCATACGTTTTAACTGGGTTATAAACGTATTTGTGCTAATGTGATACTTTACGTTTAAATAAAAAAAAAAACAAGCGATCCACCGGCGAAATGAGAGGGGATCTTACTTATATTACAAACTAGTTGTCGCACGCGACTCCTTTCGCGTGGATATATAAAAAAATTAATATATAGATAAGTTTAATAAAAACCAGCTCTTCTAAGCATAAATTCGAAATAAAAAATAATAATAAATAGCATCCTTGTCCTTCTCCTGGCTCTAAGCTACCTCCTCACCAATTTTCCGCCATATCGGTAAAGCCGTTCTTGAGTTATAAATAGTGTAACTAACACGATTTTCTTTTATTTATGTAGATGCTAATTTTTAGGTGGATGGATGTATGTATGATGTTTCAAGGTCTAGAACGACTAAATGGATCTTGGTGAAATTTGGCATAGATATAGAACATAGTCTGGAGGAACACATAGGCTACTAATTATGTTTTTTTCAATTATTTATATGTCTGTTTATTACTATTGATTATGTCTAATTATGAGTTTCCATTGTCGTAATACTTGTATAATAAAAGTACAGTGCAACCTCAATATAACGAATCGGAGGGGAACAAGTAAATATTCGTTATATCGAGTAATTCGTTAAACTGAGGTTCGTTATGTTAAGGTTAGGATGGTCTAAAATTCGTTATAAAGAGGTAAAAAAATAGTTTTATTCACCTCAACATTACGTAAGCATCTTGTTATAGCGAACAACTTCTACTAATAAATGATAACTCTTTTTTATCAAATTACTGTATGTGTTTTCTATTTAAAAACAATTAGGCAAGTAACAAAATTTTTTTGTAGGTTTCTGAGCCATTTTAACTTAAATCTTTGACAATTGTGACGAGAATAAGTGTTAACATTACTTTCCATCAAACAACAATGATTGATTTACGAACAAAAGCGTGTCGAAGATTGATTTACAAACAAAAGCGTGTCGGAACATGTCGCAACATGAATCACATATTATGAGATTAAAAGTCATACATTAGTGACACTGCAACTTTATATAGAGGTTTTGGGTTGGCAAAATTCGTTAAATAGAGGTATTTATACTTTTTCTCGATGGTTGAAAATTCGTTATAAAGAGGTTGTTCGCAAAAAATTTTCGCAATGTAGAGGTATATTTTATATTGACTCTTATGGACAATTCAAGGGGATTACGAAAAATTTGTTAAATCGAGGAAGTCGTTATATCGAGGTACGTTATATTGAGGTTGCACTGTATATGTATGGATAGTTAGAATTCGCGGTAGTAGATTATTTTCCTTTGTACTCCTTTTATAATGTTATCAAATATCGAGTACGGAATTTCCAGTAATCCTTCCTTTCTTACCGTTTTAAAGGCTTCCCTGTGTTTTATGTCCATTATTATCGAGACAAGGAAATCTTAATGGATTTACTAAAATATTTATATCTTTTATCTTTCCCTTAGTAGATCTCTTGTAAGATATTCCTCGATACGAAGAAAATAATATTTTTAATAAATCGATCGATAATAATAGCTCTAGTTAGAAGAGTCAGTAAAAAAGTTTTTTTTATATCATAAGCAAAAATTGCGAAGTGACCGTTGCCCATAGATATACGCAATAGCATATGCGTTGCCTACCTTTAATCGATGAAGGAAAGGATGCATAAAAGAAAATATCTTCCCTTTCCATGCATCCTCTCATCCGGAAAGTCCACTTCCACTTCCTATCCTTTCCTTATAAGAAAAAGGGTGGCAAGGGAAAGAGGACTAAATTAGGCCTCCGGGACGAAAATATAAAATTCTCGTGTCACAATATTAGTTAACATACACCTCTGAAAAGGTTTGATAGATTTTTATGAATTTTTATATGCATATTAAGTAGGTCTGATAATTGGCTACTATCTGTTTTTTAATCCCGCACAGACGGAATCGCGGGCAACAGCTAGTTTTTTTAATTATAATTTATTTATAATTTCTGAAGTTATCCTTGGAATCAAAATACTTTTCTAGCTATTTTTAAAAGTCTGAAGTCATTGGATATTTTTATTTGAGATGCATAGTGAAATGGCATATTGTGTTTTTGTTTTTTTTTCCTTTTGTCCTTGTTATCAACACTATTGTCAAGTGTGAAGGTTGTTAGTACCGACAAATTATTCATATGTATGTACAACGTAACCCTTTGCACTTTAAACCCTTTAGTTGCCACGTGTAAGGGTAAGCGTCGTAAATAGGGTGGACAGTTTTATTTGTGTTTCTACTAATGATGAGATGTTTAGATTTTGTTTGAATTTTAAACGACAAGACAATACTTAAATTTTGTGTTTGTTTTTAATAGCCTTTGGAACTAATCAACCGATTTGGAAAATTCTTTCACTATTGCGAAGCTGTACTATCCATGGATAACATAAGATATTTATTGCTAGATTTCTTTGATAACGTACGGGAGAAGTCGCGGGTAACTGCTAGTAATGGGTAAAGTTAACATTTTTCAAACGTACTATTGTTTATGTGATTTATTTGTTAGATAAATTAAGATTTATATGAACGTGAGTTATATTTAAAAAGAGTAAAATATACTTCATTACTCATTATATTGCTAATTTTAACAAACACTAGTTAGTTTTTTTTACATTGATTTCATAATTTATCGACTTTATTGCTAAAGTGATAAGACTGATTTTCTATAAATCATTTTTAATCGACACAGATTATAAATATGTTGCGAAATCGAAAATAAACAATTCAGCGTTATTTGTTTTTGTGTTTAAGTCAAGCAATGTCGAACGATAAGTTTCCACTGTAAACACATCAAAAACATGTTTTTGATGTTTTTTTTCAATTAGAATGCGAGGTATGAAAAATGTGTTTTTTTTTGTCCCGGCAGTAGAAACCATGGTGGATTGATTGAATCGTAATAAACATAAATAATGTACAATCAGAGAATATAGCGGTATTCCATCTTAAAAGCGACAGTCGTTCGAAAGCATAAAGACGATGAGACGGAAACAATAACCAATAGGACGTTTTATTTGTGTGTATATGAAAGAAAGGTTGATCAGTAATACAGATTAATCGCTTTTAAAATTATGCCACTGTTACCTAAGAACAAGGCAATTATTCTGTAAGTGGAATACCGCGAACGGCCCTGACTGTACTAAAAATAAATCTTAAACCTTTTCGTCTGTACAAAATAGAAGCCAGCCGCAGTTAAAATTGATTAATGTGACGTCATTTTAATCACGATCAATTAACGTTGTTTTGTTTTGTTGCAGGTCAATCGCAGTATTATCGAAAGTGTCGCATGATGTTATTATTTCTTAATACATTAACGGGAAATTAGGCAATCGAGTGGGAAGTATAGACATGATAAAGGCACAAAAGCAGCAATGGACGGCGTGAAGAAATTACACTCGGGAACGCTGTATCGGTAAGTTTTAATTTTTTTTTGGTTTGAGATCTTTACTCGTAAAATAGTGTACATTTTATATAATTTGTCTTAAAAGTCTTTTTGTATGACACAAAAATGTCACGTTTACGATGGAATTTGTTGCTTCCTTTGGATAAATTCTAGGTATTTTATTCGAGTATTTCGGTTGAAATACTTCAAATATTTGAACGCTATAAGTGCAAATTATAATACGTAAGTTCGTTTTAGAATGTTTTCAAGTGTGCGTCTAATTTAGATTGTTAGCCACGTAGGTGGTCGGCAAAATTGCAATGTTATTCACAAACATGGATACACTTGTAAAAATAGGTGGCCTATTTTAACCGCAACGTATTTTTAGACGCCTTGTCCGCCACAATTAGCTTTTGTGGTAGACGCTTGCTTTATTTTTTTAAAACTTTACTACTAGAGAAAGATTGTCTGAGTGTGCTTTATCAGTTTACAAATTGTCTGTTACTGAAAAATCTGTGATACATTTTGGGTTGCGTTTGCTCAATTTTTTTTAAATATCAAAAGGTGGCAAACGAGCGAGCGGCCACCTGAAATCGCTGAAATAGCGAAGTGGCCGTTGCACATAGACATACGCAATTGCATATGCGTTGCCTACCTTTAATCGACGGAGGAGAGGATGCACAGAAAGAAAATATCTTCCCTTTCTATGCATCCTCTTATCCGCAAAGTCCACGTCCACTTCCCATCCTTACCTAATAACAAAAAGGGTGGGAAGGGAAAAAGGACTAAATTAAGCCTCCGGGACGCACACTCATCAGACGAAACGCGGAATTGCATCCACTTTACGTCTTCTGTGTGGTCGTGGTATTTCACCGGGCTAGCCGGGCCAATTCGTGCGAAGATGTTAAAGCGGATTCTACCACTTTTAAAAATATAATATTGATATTGAATTCGAGCGTAGCTGGGTTGATTAGTTAGTATAGATATGTAAAACGGAACACTAGGTTAAACATAGGTCACAACGTCAAAGTTCCTTGTCTAAAGAATGTTTAATTACTATGTGCGAACTGCTGAGAGGTTATGTCGCTAATTGGCCTCGTTACATTTTCAATTTAACATTAATTATACAATCTTGTATATGTAATATAATTTTATTTTTCTCTAGCTATTACTAAGTTTATTACTAACTTAATAAACTGATTTATCTTTGTTTAACTGTTTGTATGGCTTGTCGGACACATAGTCCGACACGGCCTGATGGAAACATTAGCTTGTCGGACATATAGTCCGACATGGCAGCTAACGTGTAAGAAACCTTTGCTTAAAATAGGCAATTAGTGGACAGATTATTCTTGTTTCTAATGTGTCGAATCAAATGATGGGTTCTATGGCTTTTAATGTCAATAATGATAGTTTTGTGTTGCCGCAAACTTTTCAAATGATCGACAGTCTATTGTTAATTCATAAACAACAATCGCGGTACAGTCGGGCACAGGCGGTTGTCATAAGTTGGGACAATTGTCGACTGACAGTTTGAATGGACACAACCGGTGAACGTAGTCGTTTCTGTTCCGAAGTGTACCAGTGTCCTTTTGTGTTATACTTAGATTATAGTAAGGCTAGTGCTACTTTGCCTGATAAATGCGATACTATTAATAGTATGTTTACTAATTATTAGGAAAGTTGTTGAGAATGGTATTTTAGTATTCGTTATAAATTACGAAAGAGTTTTAAGTGTGTTTATTGAATTGCAACGCCTGATCGCTCAACATCTTACTTCTTACTATCTTATTAATATTATAAATGTGAACGTTTAGATGGATGGATGTTTGTGTGTAGGTATCTCCAGAACAGCTCAAAGGATCTTGATGAAATTTAGCATACAGTACTACACAATGCAGTAACACATAGGCTACTTTTAAAGTATTTTTTTAATACCGCGCAGAGGGAGTCGCGAGCGACAGCTAGTATTATAATAATAATGAATCTTTTTTTAACTCTTTTCTTGTCACCATGCTAAAACAAGACGATTACTGATTCTAGAATGTTGTTGCAATCTTTTTCTGTCTGGCTTCAACTTAACGTACGTAAAATGTTTTAGACGTAACATTGCAAAGCTTAGTACAGGCAGTCCCCTGAGATCAGTGTGTTGGCGACGTGCCAAAACTCAGGAGAGATTTAAAGTTTGGAACTTTATCGTTTAGTACTCGATAATAACATGACTTATTGTGTTTATAATTTGTGCTTTTATAACGCAAAATACTGTATGTTAAAAACTATTTCTATTACCTCTATTCTGTTTAAAAATAATAATAATCCGGCTACCGTTTAACAGTGGTATTTGGCCCGGCTCGCCCGGTGAAATACCACGACCACACAGAAGACAGGCGTCAAGTGGAAGCAATTCCGCGTTTCGTCTGATGAGTGTGCGTCCCGGAAGCCTAAGTTAGTCCTCTTCCCTTCCCACCCTTTTTCTTATAAGGAAAGGATAGGAAGTGGAAGTGGACTTTCCGGATGAGAGGATGCATGAAAATGTTTTCTTTCTGTGCATCCTCTCCGCCGTCGATTAAATTTAGGCAACGCATATGCAATTGCGTATGTCTATGGGCAACGGTCACTTCGCTTTTTCAGCGATTTCAGGTGGCCGCTCGCTCGTTTGCCACCTTACGACATAAAAAAAATCCGTTTGGTTATTGGTCTAGAAAGTTTTGGATGATAGAAATTCTACAATCAACATTTTATAAATAAATTGAGGGCCCTTTATACTTTATAGAGTTGTATTTTATTTATAAAAACAAACAAATAAATCAAAGTTCATTATATCTTTCATCTTGACTTTACTCAAGTATCCACCTTAATCCGCCAAGAAGCTTTTTTATAAAATTTCATAAAAGGCTTAACCAGTCCTCCATCAGCTGTCTACGCGAGCGCCCTCTTTATTTTGTTTCTATTTTGATATAAAGAATCTTGCAGAGTTGACATGGACGAGAGAACTTTTTTTAAATTTGAAATACTCGAAAGTTCTGTGTTATAAATGGTACTTAGTGGCCTATCTTACTAATATTATAAATGTGAATGTATAGATAGATGGATGGATATTTGTTTGAAAGTATCTCCAGAACGGCTGAACGGGTCTCGATGGAATTTGTCGTACATCTAGACTATAGTTTGGAAGACTACTAAGTTTTTTATGTAATTCCGTTTGGACGAAGTTGCGGGCGTCCGCTAGTTTATATTAAAGATTAAACTTCTTTAAGTGTCGTAAGACTATTTAAATTAAGTATTAGCATAAAGCCTAGTTGTTAAACTAAATATTAGGTTCTTAAAGTAATCGTATTATGTTTACCGAAACACTGCCAGCGATAATTCCTTCTTACAACAAAAACGATTTATTTTAATGGTAATTTTCTTCAAGGCGAACAAGTCGGTTATTGTAACTTCATACTTAATATGATAAATAATACACAATCGAAATGAAATTAATACGACGGAATTTACTTTGCTTGTATTTAGTAGAGGAGGCGAGAGAGTTCTGTCAGAACAGCGTCTCAGATCCCTCTGAGTTACAGGACGTGAGTTGTGTTTACAAGATTTATTTAAAAACATTAGCCAGGTTGAAAGACCAAGTAAAACGATAAGTATACGAAAATTACCTCTACTGCTATGAAATTTATTATATCTTTCTCTATGTCAGTATATGTCAAATAGCTGTCGCACGCTTTGAAATAAAAAAAAAATATTAGTAGCCTATGTGTTCTTCCAGAATATGTTCTACGACTATGCTAAATTTCAGCGAGAAACAAGCAGCCGTTCTGGAGATACCTTCATCATACCCTCTAAGTAACATCCATCCATCCATCTAAAAATTAGCATTTATAATATTCGTAAGATTAGTAACAGATATGTCACCGCAGTCTAATATGTATGTATCTTTGAATCAACTAAACCGGCGGCCATCTTTAAACAAACATCTCAGTCCCTAATAGTTTTAGCATATTGTGGCGAATGTCCACTAATCTACTTCGTATTGTAAACCTTAGTTACACAGCATGTTATCTTGTACATATATTAATACTATTCCGACGGACAAACACTACATGTAGGGCTGCGACGAAGACCCGATATTCGACAAAAAGACCATTATTTATCAACCCTTGACTACGTACGTGGAGAAATTTCTATCATATGTAAATTTAAATAATTCTAATCAAACCCAAAGAGGTGTCAACCCTAACCTCAGGGCTCCGCAGTTGCGTTGTGGTTGAATGAACGTATGTATATTTGCAAAAACGTTTTTTTTTAATTTTATCTTGTTATTTAATACTGATATATATGTAGCCAACTGTGGTCAGTCTTAGTTATGTAATTTACAATTTGATACTGTAAATACTTAGATTTGTATCAATCTGTCTGACATTTGAAGGTTGGAAGTGTACCCAGTTAGTTTTTAATATTGTAATATCGTTGATAAAGTTTTTAGTAGCCAGTACTTTGTTCTATTTGTATGTCTAGACATTTTTTTACTATTATTTGGTATCTAAAGTATTAAATTATTCAAAAGTCCCTCAATATTATTGTGCGAAGTATTCTCAAACGACAATACATTGTCCCTCTCGATTCTAAGCCGAACAATGGCAAAGATCTCGTCGAATTCGGCGCTAGAAATTCCTAGTGCCATTAGCGTTAGGGACAACTCGAGCATTCGGAAGCTTTTGTTTTGTCAAGTGTGTAATTTACTCTGATGTGGACATAACGCAGTATACACACTCGATTAGTGATTGGTCGAACGCTGTATTGTGTACCCACATTGATGTTTTTATAAGATTTTATTTAACTTATGTTAGTTTGGGTGGAATTTTGCAACTCAATTTTGAAACTGTTATCTTCAATCGATTGAGGTATAATACAATTTTGCGTTTATGCAAAATTGCAAAACAATGCTATATTATCAATTGTTGATTTATAGATACGCGTGTGTGACCTAAGTTGGAAATGATAAAAATAGGGCCTTAGCAGGAGGAACAGAGGTA